CTTTACCAAGGCTGGGATCCCCCCTGCTCAAACCCATTATGTCTCCCTGGGGATTGGGACCACTGAGATCCTATCCACAGTTCTGTGTGTAAGTGGCTTTTCAGGTGAATTTTATTCTGCTGTAATACATTGCTCATTTTGATCTTTAGAAATACTGTAAATGGAGCCTCAGGAATAAAATTTTTGCAACAAATCAACCATGGAACCAATCAGATTAAATCTTCTCCCCACATCCTGCAACATGGACATTTCTATTAAGCTTCTGGAAAGAGTTGGGAGTCTTTCTGTCAAAATCACAACTCATTCTGGGCCAGACTTATGAGTCCCAGTTCCCTCCTGGAGGAAGGGCAGATGTCATGTGCCAGTAGGACCCAAGGCTGTAGGAATCACAGCAGTGTGAGCATTCCCACTCTGCACTCCTGCCTGGCTCTCCTTTGCCTGCAGGACACACTTCCGACCTCCTCTGCCTGCACAGTGCTCCCTGCAGCTGCACCTCCCAGTCCTGCTCCTCCTGCAGCTCCTGGTCCTGCTCAGGCCACTCAGATGGGCCAGTGAAGGCAGAGGCTGGAGCAGCTCACCAGTGGCAGCATCTCCTCCTGCTTGCAGGGCTTCCTGATCGAGCGTGCAGGGAGGAAGACACTGCTGTGGAAGAACTACGCCGTGATGGCCTTGGCGCTAGGGCTCCTCACAGTCACACTCTCACTGCAGGTATGACCCCACTGATGTACTAGAACTGAGCCCATGTTTTATTGTATGACAGATAGCATGACTATTTCCCTCCCCATGAATCACTTTTTAGTGGGTAGAAGTATTTTTGGGGCTTACCATCATATTCATGGAGGTCTGTTCCCAGCCATGTACATCTGGATAGCTTTACACAGCCAAGATCACTGCCAAGGCTATCTCATGACATTTCTGAAAGTAGAAGAAATAGATCTATGTTAAACATTGACATACTTAGTAGTGATGAATATTTGTAATGGAGCTAGATAAATAAAATTTTATTTTCTGATTTTATTTACTTTTCATTTCCTACCACAGGACTCCTTTTTCTGGGTACCATACTGCTCTGTTGTACTTGTCTTTATTTACATCATGAGCTTTGGCATTGGGCCAGGTTGGTATTTTCTACTGGAATGGTTTCATTTATTCACTCATTCCTTCCTCACTGCAGCTTTTAGGAGAGATCCCAGGCATAGCTGTTCCACAATCGGCATGAATCCCTACTTCTGATGCAGTGCATGTGTCAATATTTCCCTACATTCTATGCTAGGAGGTAAAATTCATTTCCTATTGCGTTCCTACACGCCTTTTTCTGAAGAGCCAAGCACCACTTCAGACACTTCCAGGCCACTTAAAGCCATTAAGTTATGCAGCAAAATTAATTATGAGATACAAAAGCATCTTGCAAATTTTCTAAGCTTCCTTCTTTCTTCAATATTTTTTCAGGTGGAGTAGTATGCCCCTTGATCACGGAAATATTTATTCAGTCATACAGACCAGCTGCTTATGTTTTTAATGGTGTTATAAACTGGATCCAACTCTTCATCCTTGGACTTGTGTTCCCTTTCATTGTGGTAAGCAAAGTAGGGTGTTTGTTTCAGTTCAGAGGAAGTTAGACCCCTCTTGAATCCAGAGCATGCTTCTCTTATCAACACTTCATGAAATGGACAGAGCCCAAATTAATTGCAGTTCTGATGGCCTCTTCCATCTTAACCAGATATTTACTGGAAGTGTAGCAAACCCACAAAATGCTTCTAATTCTGCAAGTTAGAGTGACATAGGCAACACATATGCAGTGACAGAGGCACCAACACTGTCAGATGTAATTTGAAGCAGGATTTATATCAACTAAGTACTATTTTCTTTTAGTAAATACAAACCCAGAAACTCTATATCATAAGAGAAAGAAATCAAGATAAATGTTTATGCACACTTTTTTTCCCCTTTGTTTTCCTGTAGGAAGGTCTTGGTAATTTCTGTTTCATCATTTTCCTGGCATATTGTCTGTCCATGGCTATTTTTGTACTCCTGGTGCTGCCAGAGACCAAAGGAAAGACGATGCTGCAGGTCAAGGAAGAGTTCAACTGCCTGAACTATCGTGGAAAGAAGAGGCAGGCAGCCCTACAGCAGAGTAACTGCTCAGTGGTGACTGTTACTAGGCTTTAAGAACAAACCCTCCACTTCATATTTTGCTCTTTTATTACTGTAGTGACCAGAAGTTTCACTAAGCAAGAGAGAATCTATAGATACACAAAAAAAATCACCTTCAGTACAAGGTGCAGCATGAACTTGGTGGTTCTCTCCAGCTCCTGAAATATGAGCTGAATTAATTCCTCTGCAGAAAAAAATTAAACACAATTTGTAGAGAAAATAAGATCTTTGTCAGTCCCTCCAAGCTTGCCGTTATAAACTAAAAATATAGGAGCTGCTATTTTCTTGGCAAAACCAGGACTCCACAGCTGGCAGAAGTGATTCTGGGAAGACCAGAGATACAGCAAACTTGCAGAGAAGACAGAGCTTTGACAGTGAAATTATCTGCTCCTATTAACAAGTCAGTGCCAATAAGCTTTCCTAGAGAAGAAGCTTCAGTTCACATGAGAAGTGTTCAGCTCCTTAAGCCAGTGAAAGAAGAGTGCCTTGCCTATCAGCTGCCAGAATCAATATGCAATGTCCCCCCACATTTACAATCTTGGAGATTCTTCTGTTGGGAAAAACAGGGATATGTCAGCACTGATAGAAAGCAATGAGCAAAGAAAGGAGAACAGCAGGAAATCGTGAGTGGGCAAACACAGTGTGCAGATTCTCCTTCATTGGCAGTGGCTGTGTGGTGCCTCTCAGCCTGGAGAATGCTGGGTTCCAATGGGATTGAGCCCTGAGAGTGACTGGCACTTGCAAGACAGAGAAGAGGGACACCTCTCTTGGAGAATTTAATCCATGTGTGTGACTGTTTGTTCTCTTTCCAGGTCTCTGAATACTTCACATTTTCATTACAAAACCTGGTAAAAACAGCTTCATATTTGTGTTCACTGCTATACGACATGACAGTTTTTTTAGTCTTCTTCATACTTTACAGTTTTCTGATAAGGAAATAAAGAGCAGTGACTAGGAAAACACATCCTTCTGATGGTGCCTGGATTGATTTTCATTGAATGGAGTCAGGGACAGAGGAGGCCCCATCTTCTGGGGCAGTGTTGTTGGGCTCAAGGAATACTGTGTCTGTCTTGTTCTGGAGATGAGATCCTCACTACCAACTGATGCAAATGCTGCACAATAAATTTTGCAAAAGGATCTGAATATTGAGCAGCAGTTTCCTTCACAGCCCTAAGGCTCCTGCTATTTTATCTTCACATTGTCCTCCAGCAGTGTTTGTGGCAGTGCCAAAAGCTAATACCAGGAGCAGGGAACTTTCCCAACACAGCCATCCCTCCCATGACAATCATCATACTACCAAAACCACTAGATAGTTTATTGTTTCAGGGCTTGAGATCATTGATTGCTCAGTGCCACTTTAATAACCAGCCTACATTCCTTCTTTTGGTCAAAAATGCAGGGGGGAGGGGGGTGGAAAGAAGCATTGGAACTGTTTTGAAAAGAAAGTATTAGGTAATTGATTATTTTAAAGGTCTTTATTTGGTTTGGTCTTTCTCAAACTTACTGGTTCCCAATGAGGAAGTTTTTATTATCTTACTAGACATTAAAAACGGATTTTCTTATACATATCTTTCTGCAGCATGATTGTGTCAACTTACCTTACTTATCCCCTCCTACTAAAGGCTGTCCACAAGAGGAGAAGTGTGCTAAATCATTAACGCTGTCATAAACTGTCATGGATTGGGAATAAAGGCTGAAGAAGTACTTGTGGATCTGCAGTTCCAGGATCCAGGATGGATCCAGGGTCATACAAGTGCAACACAGAGCATCTCTGAAAACAAAATCCCTCCAAGTCCAGGCTATTGGTGAGCTCAATCCTGGGTCTGGAAAAAGCACATTTCATGCAGTGTTCAAGTCCTAGGTGAACAGATGCACCTTGTCCTCTTCTTTAGGAAAAGAAATAAAACCTCTACTAGGCATTTAAGGCTTGTTTTTTCCATTGTGCAGCACTGAACAATGATGTGAGGCCAGATGAAAATGAGACAGCAGTAGGAGTATTGTAGAGGGGCACAGACAACAGGAGGAACAGGGCTCTGCAGGGACTGTTTGATCAACCAGATGTTAAAAACTGGTCACAGACAGTGTTTAGAAACCTCTCCAGGAAGGTCCAGAGCTGCCATGTGTATCTTTCCTCCCATCCTCAGCTTAAAGAAAAATCTTCCTTTCCCCTCTAGTTCCTCCAGCTCATCAGCTCCTTGTCCACTGAGATGTGGCATTGTGCTCTGGCACACAGTGGGCCAATTCCACTGTTCCAGAGACTTCTGAGTGGTTCTGAAAAAACTCAGAGCCTCTGTACAGAACTGGGAGTTAGCAAGGGCACAAAATGCCAATATTCCAACACTTCATTTCCTACATTTGGAAAATTGTTCAAGCAATTGTAAATCTTCTAGCAGGCAAGAAGAGGCATTATGGCTGAGCAACAATTCTAAAGGCCTGTTGTAGACTGGAGGGGAGGAAAACCTCCTCTGCCCAAGCTGCTTTTCAGAGAGGTGAACAGGGACTCTGTTCCACTGAAGGGAAGATTGTGGGACTGTCTGACTCCTCACACAACAGGAACACTCAGGGGTTTTAGCAGTGTGAGTAAGGGCCAGTGCTCCCAATTGAAGAAGGATAAACATGTACCAGTGTTGTAATCAGCTTGTCATATCTGGGTCTTAGAATAATTAAACCAGCAAGAAGAGGCCCTGGCCAGTGTCAGGGGAGGACACAATTTGCTGAAAGCCACATAGTTAGAATTTAACTTCTGTGCTGTGGTCCCAAACTCTTACAATCTCAGGGTGGAACCCATCTCTCTCATCTGGCAGACTTGACAAGGGCCCTCAGAGCAGGCAGGGTTTCAAGGGGAAATGGCTGGTTTCCCCTCAGACCTGGTGAGTGTTCAAATTCTTTTGTTCTAGCCCTGGTCACTAACAGCAGCATGGTCTAAGATTGCTGTAAAGGGAATACTTGTAATAAAAATGAGCACCAGAGCTTGGGGCATCACTGGTAAGCAATGACTGACTAAATGACATCTGCAGAAAATACATTAGAAATGCAAAACAGTGAGATGACCTGGGAAACCAGGAAAGATGGGAATTTGGGGGGAGATAGAAAACACAGTATCAATGAAAAACACAAAACACAAACCACTCTCCCACTCTACTGCTCTGTGCTTTCAAGGACAATTGAGAATACTTACCAGTTTAAAGTGTGACCTGACTAAGTATCTGGAAACATATGTGCTTGTGAGAAATGCTCTGAAATTCAATGTACGTCATAGTAACCCAGCATTTCCAATAAAAATGATATTTTTATTCAGATAAAAAATATCTGAATAAAAATATCATTTAATACAAGATTGATGAAAGTGAAATACAAAAAAAAGGCTTTGAGAGGACAGACTTGAGTCATCTCTGAAAAATGGTGAACACTGTCCCTGAGGAGGCAAAGGTGAAAGCAAAAAGGGATTCAAGAAAGCTGTAGCTTCTTTCTAGTACAAAGGTAAACACAAATGATCTCAACAAGGCTTTTATGCTTTTTGTTTTCTGCGGTTAGCAGAACTAACAGAACTAGAGAATGTATCTTTTTAGATTGCTAATAACCGGGAGAGGAACATAGCAGAATGTGCAGATGTGTATTTTAGCAATGTAACAAATTAATTTTCTTGATTATTGTGAAATTCAAGATGGGTTTTTGCATGTTAAAAGTTGCTTAGTCATAGAAATGTGAAGACATAAGGTGCTGTAAATTCTCTCATGGTCTGAAAGGTGTGCTGGTATCAGGAGCTTAGGATGTGCTTTGCTCTCTTTGGCAGGTTCAGTACTGGAGGCTGTTGCTAATGATTGTGGTGCTGGGCATTGGTGGAACCCACCTCTCTGGTCTTCAAATGTCTGTCATCAATTACACTTCTCTGGTAGGCAAAGCTGGAGAAAAGAAAATCCCATCTCTAACTGTTCCTCATGGTCCTGGGCCTTGTACTTTGCAGACTCTTTACAAAAGCTCTTGGGTGTTGCTGCCAGTTTATTGGCAGCTGTTTCCAATTAAATACTGTCACTGTTAAAGTGTGCATGATTGCAAGGAGCCGTGCTCCAAAGACAACTTCCCACAGAATTTTGTGGAAACAACATATTGAGATACCTCCTTAAAGTTTATGTCATGGAGGAACAAAAAAAAAAAAAACAACAAAAATAGCTGATGGAGTCAGCCTTCAGCTCAGCCCTTTCCTCTTTATATCCATTACTGGCCACAAGAACATTTGCATTTTACTATAATGAATATATAATATAATGAAGGTCCTAGTTTTTTGGTATAGTAGAGGTAGAATTCAACACACTAAAGGGTATAATTAATTTTTGAAAGATATTTGTACACTATTAGCCTGTATGAGAGGAAATATCAGTCCTTATTTGCAAAGACATGTCTTATAGTCCTATAGTCACGCTTTCAGTCACTACTGTTAATCTGTTTAAATTGTAAACATTATGAAGAACGTTATGATTAGTGCCTTGGTGGAACAAAAATCTCTTTTTTGTCCCATTACATTCAGAAGTTTGTCAATGAAACTTGGCTGGAGCAATATGGTTCTGTGCTGCCTCAGGAGACCCTGACCCTACTGCATGGGTGGGATGATAGGGTGTCTGTGCAGTGGGTACCTGACTGCAAAATTTGGAAAGTAAGTACATTTCCCAGCATCTCACTACCCGGGGCTGTAACAGGGGAAGCTATTCAATATTAGTCAACTAAAAGAAGGGATACCAGAATTTCACTGCCCCCTGCTGCTGCAGAATTTACCCAGCACATAAACCATTGGAGAGACAAGAACATGCAGGTATTTCTGATTCCCTTGTTACAGCTTCTGTTGACATAAAATTCCCATCATTTTGCTGACATTTTACCCTGCAGGAGTTTCCTTCAGCCCCATGGTTTGCTCACACAGTGAGTAAGAGGAATCTAGCTTCTCCCTTTCCACTCCTCTGCAAAGATATCATGCCTTTTTCTAACCTGATTTGGTTGTCCTATGAGCAGTGGGTTTAAATGTGGCCATGGCTTCAGCCTGTAAATCTAGAGGAGAAGAGTCAAACATCATTTTTTTTCATGGAAGAAAAAGTAAAACATGGACTCCCCACTGGCCCATGTTAATGTGCCTCCTTTGGGGTGGATACAGAGATCTGCCTGCTGGGAGTACCCAGGAATGTGCTGGAACCCAGTGCAACAAGGAACAGACTGGGGCGAGGGAAGATGAGCTGTCCTTTGACTTCAAGAGCTCTTGTAGAGAGATTTGTTGGATTAGCTAAACAACTTGAAATAAAAAGGTACATTTTCAGCCCATTATTGCAGAGGGTATATGTGAGAGGGTTTAGAAGAGAGAGGAGAGAGCTGAAAGGGACTTAGCACTCTCCTGTCTTCTCCCTTTAGGAATACATATGAACGCCCATGTTCAGTATGTTGGAGAGATCTCACCTAAGAAGTTTTGTGGATTTATAAACATGACCTCCACAGTGTTTCTTGCACTAGGAAAAACTGTAACACAAATTCTTGGATTAAGGTGCCTGTGCTGCTCCTTCTCTGCCTGTTTTATATTTATTTTTCTTCTGTATAGCAGGCAAGTGGTGTTCTCCCAGTCCTAGAATCAGACATACACCAAGGGTGGGGTTTTATTTTGCTTAACTACAGCAGTCAAAGAGGAGGCATCTACCCTATACAAGTCACTGGGGTTTCCATGTTCATTCCCTGCAGATAGAAAGGCCTTTCTCTTGGGAAAGGATGACTCAGTCTCTGGAGGTGCAATCTCTCTGCTGGAGTTAATAAGAAAAGATTGTATGTAAATATTCTTATTAAACTTGTGAGATCTCAAAGTTTTGCTAATTTCTTGATGATTTCATGCAGAGTTGCTTTGTTGGTTCAGAGAGCTGTTGTGAGAATATTTTGACCTTCAGAAATTAAAAGTCTAAGAAAGATGTCAGTCTTGCAGAAGAAATAAAGTATTAGTCTATTTTCCTGTCACTAAGATAAACATCATCCATTTCAATTGAACTTTTCAATGACTGTATGTATTTAATGTCTCTTTAGCTAGTCTAGAATTCAGAAAATACTTATTTAGTTATAAACTGTAATTTTACTGGACTATAAATAGATTCTAATATGCTTTCATAGAGAACTTTTAGGAACTGAAGACATGTGGAATGTGCTATTGTCCTTCTCTGGGCTGGTGGCATTGATTCAACTGATCTTTTTGCCATTCTTTCCTGAGTCCCCATCCTATGTCTTGCTGCAAAAAGAAGATAAAGCTGGTTGCTTGAAAGGTAAAATAAAACTTTAGATCCTTAGTTTGTTAAATCATTACTCTTGAGAAAATGAAGCTAACAGCAGGAATTGGCTTTTCTATTAGCCAGCCACAGATTTATTGATAATTACATGATTAAAATCCTCCAGACCATGCAGAGTCATCAGAGACATTTAAGATCTACCCCTAACTGCTACAGCATATTCCAGGGAAGTTTCACCATGTTCCAGTAAGTGATGTTCCTTCCAGTCCTTTGCTCAGTAACTGATGAATCAAAGCATGAACTCAAGTACAAATGTTTAGTGTCATTACAAGTTGAAAAACACAGAATTGGGAGTGGATCAAATGATGGAGGAGTATACTTCATTCTGTCTCTTCTGTAGCCATGAAGCAGCTCTGGGGAGAAGGGAATTATCACACAGAATTTGATGACTTGATGAAGGAAAAAGCTACAACAAAAGGCTATAACAAAATCATGAATGTCCTAGAGGTGCTGAGAGAACGATCTGTGCACCCACAGCTGTGTGCCATGCTCCTCCTTTTGCTGAGCCTGCAGCTCTGTGGCCTGAGTGTAGCTGAGTATACCCTATTTCCATGCTTGGATCTGCTATGGAGTCTCCAAAGTGCCACAATGCCAACTTGTCCCTTTCCCCTGGGTCTGCATGATTCCTCCTCACACAGAGCCCACCGCCTGACACCTGTGGTATCATCCCCATTTTTGTTCATACCTTTCAGGCAGCTTCTCAGGGGGGAATACAAGAGCTCCAGCTCAGCCTAAGTTCCTGCAAGGGCACTGTTGCCTTCATTCCCCTGGTGGTACAACCAAGGAATCTGTACAGGAAAGGGTTACAAGTATCCTAAGGCTTACAGCAGCCCAGCACAACTTTCTTTGATTTCTGCAGTAGCAGATGGCCAGCTATTGCCATCCAGTTTCATTTCATTTGAGAAAGGACATTTATGATTAAGCAACCTCCTTTCAGGAGTTTCCATGTAAAGCTGGCTGAGCCCAGTGCAGCCCAAGATGGCATCATTCCCTTCATGTTTTTACTTCTCTGGGGGTCTCTCCATAAGCCCTGGTTCAGCCTGTGCTGGAGGTGGTTCATTCCAGCTGCCTGCAGTGGAATTCCCTCTGCACTCTCAGGGACTCTGCAGATGAGCAGCTTCTGCTTAGCAACTGAAAAAAGGCAACAGAATCAACTGTATGGTGTGCCAAAACTGAGTTTTGCTCTTTCTCTTTTCTTGTCCCTTTCCTTTTCCTTTTTGCCAAAACAACACCTTTTCCCATGTTTTACAGGCAATATACTCATTCCAACTACTTTTTTTTTTTTTTTTTTTACCTTTTTTTTTTTGGCCCTCACAAATCCATTTCCTTGATTGCCATTAACCTTTTGATTTCTCACATCTGGAGCTGTTATGTTACCTCTACTAAGGCCTAATAATGTATTGCTGGTTTTGCAGTGAGGACAAATCTAGTTCTAAGTGATCCTGGATAAGCCCATATTACATCTATTAACTGTGCTTTATTTTTCTTATTTCACAGATCACCTTTTATTCCTCGGAAATTTTTGAAACAGCCAACCTGCAGGAAAGCATAATCCCATATGTATCTCTAGGAGTTTCAATCTCTGAACTCATCTCTATCATATTCTGTGTAAATCAGAGCTTCCTGGGGTTTTAAGAATTAAACTATTCTTCCTCAAAGCAAACAAATCGTCTCCTTACGAACCAGAGAATTTTTCTGTGGTGCTGCATGAATCTGTACAGTGGTTGTTACCATCCACTGCAAATTTTGTCCCAACTTTCGTGTGTTTCATCCCATCTTCATTAATCTTAATTTCTTATAAGAATCCCTTATGAAGTGTCATTCAAACATAAATATGTGTACTACTCATTTCCATATATTTGTGTATATCTGTACATTCAAATGGAGTTGTAACATGACTCCATTGATTACAGTGTTTAAGAAGTAGCTGCAAAGCTGGGCAATGATGATAATTCATAGTATTAGAGAGTGTAGAAGGAATTCAATAAAATAACAAAGTTGGTATCAATAAGATTTGTGCTCTGTGAAGTAAAAAGAACTCAAGGAGAATGCTTGATTTGTTGGATGGCTCACAGTTGGATTCTGCCATGCTTCTAGTGATAGGCAATATTTTTTTCTATTCCTCAGAGCTCCATAATCAATCAGTTTGGATGCCAAATTCTCCTGTGTGGTGGTTATTTGCTGATGGCAGTGATCCTGGTGTTGCTTGAAATGAGCTTTCTGCTGAGTGTAAGCAAATGTCTCTCCAGGAGTGACCTGCATCAGAATTCTCTGTGCAGGACAGCAGATAGCCAGCCTTAGCTTTCATGTCCAAACCAGCAGGTCAGAATATCTTCTAAATACAAACCCACCTCTGTAGATGTGACACCACCAGCTGCTTCTGGCCTTCCTCTGTGTTCACTAAAGAAACACAAGCAGGTCTAGAGAGCATCTATTACACAGCTCAGCATCATGGGCTTTTCCAAAATATTGCTGCTCCTGAGCTTGGATCAGCTGTGTTACAGCTATAAAATTGATTTTTGTTCTTTCCCTCCCTTGCCTTTTCACAGGAAGCATTTCTTACATTTCTACATAAAAAAAAAAATAATTACAAGATCTTCTTAACTCAATAATAATTCTTTAAACATAAAATCGTGCACAACTGCCAGTGTAGCAGCCTTTTTAAGAATATAGGTGATATTTCCAACAGAAATAGTTTTGTTGACTTCACAAAAATCCAAGAAGTAAGCACCTAGAATTAAATTATCCTAAAATAGCTAATAAGGTGAAATACCATGGCTCAGAATCACCAGAAATGCCTCAAAATGTAAGAGAAATTTCACTGTGAACTGATGGGATTTGCTGCTATTTGAAGTCCTCAGTAGTTATTTTCAAGCGGTGAATCCTGTTGAAAATGACATAGCCTCCCTACACCTCACTACAAATTGAGAAAAAATACACAATGAAAAAGGAAACACTGACATTTTGAAACAATAGCCAAGAGATAGGCAAGTAGTTACAATGTCAGTGTTCAAGAGAAAACCCAAAAAATGCCAAATCATTGTGAACACTACTGCCAGCCAGGATAAGCAGCATTTGCTATGCAGTTATACAGACAATAGCTGGAATTACACAAGTAATCAAAGTTTTAATATTAACACACTTTTTTTTTCTCATTTATTGAGACTCACAGGATTTGCAGTAAGCCCCTCTGTAAATAATTACATTCTGTGTTTTATAAACTGAAAGTACAAGTCCTGAGGGTGAGCTTGAGCATTTACTACGGGCCTCAGTATAACCCCATTGTCCATTTGCCCCCACCAGGACAGTCCCCTGGCATGAGGAGAATGAGCAAAAGCAAGAAAACCACAGGGCATCAACCACACAGGAAAGCCCCAGGCAAAGCAACCTCTTTTCCCAGTGCTGGCTCCAGTGGAAGCTATGTAGAGCTACAGTTGGAGCCTCTGGGAATCAAAGGTGATTTTTCACTGCCTGCAACACTGATTTTGGAGCCATTCTGTGTCAAAGACAAAATCTGAGGGAGGAAGATCCTGGTGGTCCTATCCCAATTCATTAGGGCATATTTACCTTTTCTGACAACTTTCATGAGTCTTAGCCTCTTACTGCTTTTTCACCACACCTGGTCAACAAACATCCCCATCAACACCAGACAACAAATACCCTTCCTCAGCACAGTCTAACTGATTCATAAGGCCAGAACAGCAAAATTAGCCTCTGAAATTTGCCTATTTTTCTTCTAATTATGATATTTACTTTATCAAAGAATCTGAAACAGAACACCACATACTTTACTTATTAATAAATAACAGTAGCTAAACCTTGTACCAGATGCTTTTTGCTTTCTGCAGACTATGGCAGATATACACACTAGTCTATATCATGTAAGTAAAGCATTTTACTGTTCCTGGAAACCTATTTGGGTTGTTTTGCCTGACCTCTTCTCCTTTCCCTTCCCAAAGCCCTCACTGGTCCCCAGATGCAAATTTTCTCTGCTTTGAAATTCCTCCCCTGGAGACTGGACTAGATGTAATGATTTCATGAAATATTTAATCTGGCAGTGTTAACTTTGGCCAGTTGAAGTAAATATAAGTGAGTGAAGATAAAATAGTAAAAATTTAACTCTGATCCCTGAAGCCAAATGCCCAGTGCTGCAGCAGCAGGCAGGAGACAGAGAGACACAAGCCTGTGATGAAAAAGACACATCACACGCTGGACAGGCAGCCCTCAGGCAGAGATGCCTGGCTTCCTATCAAACCTGGTAAGTACTTAGTGGGGCATTCACATCTGGGACATTTTTACTGTGTTACTGGGGCTTCAAAGTAAGCAAAATTGGTGTCTTGGTAAGAACAAGGCTCTTGTTTACTACAAGCATCTTGGAAGTGGTTCTGCCCACTATTTTGAGGCATTACAGCACTTCATATGTTCTGCCATTCATTCTTATCATATTTTTATCAATATATTAATGTGCCTTAAATGTTTTCCTGGACTGAAAAATACTTGCTTATCTAGAAACATAATTTGGTTTGTTTACCTGGTAAAAATAAAAAGTGCTTTTTAACATACATATAATTATTTAGTGCAAGACATGGCAGCAGAGGTTTTGAGAGGCAGGGAACAGGACTGGATGCTAGAAGCCATGGTGCCTTGACAAGGATGTTTGTGGAAGCTGCACTTCCTTGAGTTGGATGTAGGGAAATCACAGGAGGATGTACATCTCACACCAGGGCAAGCAGAGAGAAATTGCTACCTCAAAATCCCCTGAAACAATGAGATGTTTCTGGAGGATGGAAGACACTGTGAGAACAGCCTGATGTGAGCACAACCTTAAGAAGGTTTTGTTCTACTTCTGCAGGTTCAGTACCAGGGGCTCTTTCAAATGATCACTGTCCTGGGGATTGGTGGCACATTCCAAATCGGGTTTCAAATTTCTACCATCACCTACATGTCTCAGGTAGGCAAAGATGCACCTGGCACATTGGTTAATGAGAGCACTGGGTCTCCGCTGCTGCCTGAGGTTACTCCTCTGGCACTCAGCAAGGGTTTAATCACAGTATTCTCCTCTCATTTCCCATTTTCTATGCTATGCTATGAAGAGCAGAGCATGTCAAAGTGTTGCAAACAGAAGAAAAGAGAGATCTGCAAGTGGTTAATAGAACTGTTCCTCAGAAGACACACACTAATTAGGGTGGCATCTGTCTCCCCTAAAATATTATAGCCCGTGTGCCTTCTTCAGTGGTTTCAGTTTATATTTTTATGGCTATCCATCCTCACAGAAAAATAGAATATGTGAGCCATGCTCTAGGAAAAGTCTGCTTCTCTCCACTCACCACATGACGGGTACTGAAGTCTTGGGGGAAGACATCATTATTTTGTACACATCACCCTACTGGAAAAGCATTATTTTCTGGCTTCAGAGCACTGAGTTCTGAGTGAAAAAGTATTTAGGAATTGCACTGAACAAACTCTGTGTAGTGTGGTGTTCTTGGCAGTTATGTGAGAGAAAATCCGTAACTCATTTGCAGAACTTTGTAGTACTGTTTACACTATTCTATAGTACCAGTCTGTGCCTCACTTCCTCAGATTTCAAGGATAAAATCCCAAAGATTGAACTTTTACTGGCAGGATGAGCATAGCACACTCTATTATACTATGTCTGTTAGCTAATACACACTTTTAAAGCCTATGTGAAATAGTAACTTCAGCTGAAGCAACAGAATTATTTTGTAAATATAATAAAATAGGTGCACTGCTGTCACAGGTATTGTTACTGATTTTTTTTCTGCCTCAGCATGTTAAGGCTTTCATTAATGAAACTTGGCTGGAGCGCTATGGCTATCCCATCCAACAGGATAACCTCCTGCTCCTGTGGTCTTTCACTGTGTCCATCTTCGGCATAGGAGGTCTCTTGGGTTCTTCAGGGAGCAGATACCTCACTGTCAAATTTGGCAAGTATGTATAATTGGTCAATTGAATCTTAGCTTAAGGAAATTACAGTTGAGGTTTTAAATGAGATAGACTTTTAGATTTAGTGATGGCTGCAGCAGAGCCAGATTAACTGTGGTGTCAGCTGGTTTTCCTGCTTCCTGCCCATGTCCTGTGGCATGGGCTGTGCTGCCAGCCTGTCACACCAGCCACAGCTCCTCAGGCTGGGTTAATCTCAGCAATGGGAAAAGGCAGCACCTGGCTGAAGTCAGAATGGGTTCTGGAAAGTGCTGCTCAAAACACAGAAGCATTGAGATCCTTGGTGCTGCAATAATGTGTTTCACAGTGGATGTTCAAGTGCAGAAAAACTTTCAGAGTTTTCTCTGCTACACACCCCAGAAGTGTTCCCAAACTCCCAGGTGCAGCCACGTGCCAAGGCACACCATGAGTCCAAAGTACCCAATGCTTATTTTGTCCTGGACCACATATGTGTAATTTCAAAAAATTACCAAGACAAGTTCAGCCAAGACTTCCTGTATGGCATTAAGTGCCATTTCCCTTCTGAGCAGCAAAATTCTTTTCATTTTCTTGCACTTACAGAAAGAAATGCCTCTTGTGCAACAACGTGCTGATGATAGTGGCAGCATCTATCATGGGTTGTAGTAAAATATCCCAGTCCTTTGAGATGATTCTAATTGGACGCTTCATGTGTGGAGTAAGTGCAGGTGAGTGACTTCTCCCACAGGTCAGCTAAATCTCACAAAATTTTACATCTTTTTTCAAAGTAAATAATAAGCCTCCACTAAGAAAACAAAATGTTGAAGTCAGTGATCTTTTGTAAGAAGATTTTCTATAACACTCTGCAATGAAGAGCATAATTATTATCAATTTCACTGATACCAAATGAAATTCAGCTTTGCCAGGTGTATGAATATTCAGAGATGTCAGAAATGTTTTGATACCTCATGAAAAAAGGGATTTTCTGAAGGAAAAATATGTAGAATATTTTCTTAAATTTAGCTAGCAGTACTGAAATTATACAGTTTAAAGCTCGTATTTTCATAAGGAGGAGTATTCCAAGTAGTAAGTCCTTGGGGTTAGTACAAAGATCTGGGCTTAATAAAGCAACATCACTCCTGGCAAGTAGACTACAGGCAGTAAAATCATCCTGTGCTGCTATCTTTGCTATATTTTATTTTTCATTTTTCCCTACACAGAACTTGCCTTTCTATTGTTTGAATATTCACAGGGATGCCTCTTTTCACTTTTTAAAGAGTTAACTTAGAAGTTAATGCCTATTTTTCAAATAACCAGATTTTGTACATTGCTTCTCTGACAAGGAGATGTGTTAAAGATCTATGGTTGTAATTTAAGAACAGTTTATCAACAGGGGCCTTGCTGTGTTCCAGAATCAATATCATGCCCCATTCAAAAACCTTATTTTTGTTAAAGAGACTGCAATCAAAAGAGATTGCTTTGTCATCACATACAGCCAAGAGAAGAACACGTTGCATTTGAAACAGATAAAAGGGGCTGTGACCACCATATCAAGAAAAAGCTTCTGTTCCCAGACTAGTATTTAGCATGTCTGAGCTAATAAATATAACTGGAAATATAAACTCTGCCTGTAATCATAAAAATTATTGCTGGATAGCAGAAAAGAAATACTCATGTCTCCACCTAAATCACATACAACTCAACATTGACTGTAGCACTAAATGTGATAATTTGCCATGAGTCTACCATACAGCTCTTCAAAAGCATTATGTCAGAAAAGGTTGAGATTATGTGGGTTAACTACAAGCATATGAAATACTCCTGAAAAGTGTTTAGTTATTCAGCACTTGCATGCCCTATGTTCTTTAAAACATGCTAAGGCTCACAGGACATCTTATGATGAGGCTACACCTACACTTGAAAGGGAAAACTGTACATTTCCTAAGATCAGGGAACAGCACTCTGCAAAGAGGATCAATACTTTTGTAGAAAGAGTTAAAAAATCTAGTACTGGAAGTCTCAGATGTGAGTTGAGGTATGTGCCAGAGACAGCTGTATTCTGTAATAATTATTTACATATAGTTTTATTTCAAATGGTTATGTCTTCTTTCTTCTCTCCCATGATTCCCTCTTCACCTCAAGGTCTTTGTGTTCCTCTACATCACCAATACGTTGGAGAAATTTCCCCTAGGAAGCTCCGTGGATTTGCAAACTCTACTTCCTCTTTCTTTTGGTCGTTTGGAAAAGCCATAGGGCAAATTTCAGGACAAAGGTATAATGCCATTGATTACCCACACAATTCATTTCTGGATCCTTTCCACCTTTTGCTTCTCCCTCAGCTTTTCCATGCCTTCCTTTCTCTCCTGCAATGAGCTCTAACACAGCTTTTCCCTCCCTGCCAGGGAGCTGCTGGGCAGCCAGTCGCTGTGGCCCGTGCTGATGGCTTCTTGTGGACTCCCAGCACTGGTCCAGCTGGTCACACTTCCCTTCTTCCCAGAGTCCCCACCCTATCTCCTCATGCAGAAAGGAGACCAGGAAGGCTGCAAAAAAGGTAACTGAGGGCTTCAGCTTCCTGTTCCCCCTTGACTTAGAATCATTTTGTGATGCTTGCTTTCACCATATGGAAAGAAATAAATAGGACAAAGTGTCTCCCTGCTCATTTCCCACGTGGTTCTGCAAATACCTTCTAAGTCCATTATTGTTGTAGTTCCCACATAGAACACAAAACTACTTCCCTCCACAGCTCTGTATTACAAAACCTTTCATATTTGTCTGACACCACCTGCATTGTCAGTCTGATGATTAATGCTAAGTAATAAATGAAAAATAGCTGTTTGCACTGCAGGGCCCCAGCAGGCACCCCTTAGCTCTGGTTATTGCCTGTGCATCCTGCTCACACCCTGAGAGAAGGAGGAAGGCAGAACAGCACCCCATGGGCAGGGAGGGAGCCCTTGTGCACCCTGCTAGGCCCCTCTGTCACAGCAGGTGCCACTGAGCAGGAGGGGATCAGGGCTCTGGAACACGCTGTGAGACATCCCTGCCTCCCAGCACAGCCCCAGCCCATGCACACTGAGCTGCCAGACGCTTGCATCACCTGCTCAGAAAACTTCTTAGGGAATAAACAGAGACGAATTAACATGGCACGTCTCGCTCTCCTTCTTCACAGCCATAAGGCAGCTTTGGGGTGAAGGCCAACACCAAGCAGAGATTGATGACATCATGAAAGAGAAAGCAACAATGAAAAACACCAAGATCTTGAGTGTCCTGGAACTAGTGAAAGAACCAGCTTTCCGTTGGCAGCTGTACATGATAGTTACTCTGACCGCCACAATTCAGCTATGTGGCATCAATGCAGTTGAGTGTATTTCCCTCTTAAAGTCCCAAGATATCACAGCTCACAGGAGCTTTCTCCATTTTTCTCAGGTTTCTCAGCCCAAGCCCTGCTGTCTGCCAGCCTTTCTACAGGACAGCAGCAGCCACAAGCTTGGCTGGGCTCTCTGTGTGACATCCCTCTGCCCAGCTCTTGGTCCTTGCTGGAGCTGCCTGCCTCTGTACTTAGGCTCACTGATCAGCCACCTTTGGGAGCCATTGCAGAGCTCCAGAGCTCACTCTTAGGAATGAGCCCACTCTGCTGGCAAAATCCGTAATTTTATGTGACTGCTCACTGCAACTGCTGCTATTTGTCCCCGGCTCTAAGCACCCAGAGATATTGGGATAGCAGTCTGCTCACTCTGTCCTTGAAGCTAACAACAAGCATGTTCCCTGTTCTGCAGCTTCTGCAGCTCTGCTCTTCCTCACAGGAGTGCCTTTCTGGGATCCTTCTGAAGTCACAGCTTTGCAGTTGCCTGCATGACCCTCCTACCTCTAACATCAGATGCAGAAGCATCTGTAAAGGAAGTGCACAGCTGAATCTAACACAGCTTAAACTGCAATATTTATCATCTTTCTCACTTCAGCCTATTTCCAAACACTAGCAGAGATACTTGAAAAGATGTTTGGTTTGACCCCTCATGACTCCATAACCCACGCTCTTCTTTCTCGGGAATATTCTACAATGATGTTTTTGGATGAGATCTGAAAACAAGATATACCTGTCTGTTTCTGAAATCACCTAAATCAGGAGTCTGCAAACCTAATTGCATTGTAGTAGTTGGAGGTCAAATTATCCCAGCATTTTATCTTTTATCAAATTAATTAATGAATTAATTATAGAATGTTTTATAATATTTTTGTCTGCTGATAAAGGGAATGCTACCAGAAAGAGTAGATAATTCCAGCTCACTCCAAAGCTGAGCTGCATGCTCCCTGATTAGCAGCTCATATCTGGGGCAGTATCACACAAGTTTGGATAAGAAATCAATTATTTTCTTCTCTTACTGTTTGATGGGTTTGTTTTTGTTTGTATGTTTGTTTTTTTCCAGATTTATTTTTATACTTTTGAAGTCCTCCAGGCAGCTGGCTTTGATGAAAAAATGGTCTCCTACATGACCCTCTCTATTGGACTCTCTGAACTCGTAGCTGCTGTAGTCTGTGTAAGTCACAGTACCAGGGAGTGGGGCACACTTTGCTCTCCAGCCCTGACACTGATGTGATCTCTGTCCTTCAGAGCTCCATCATTGAGAGGCTGGGCAGGAAAGTGCTCCTAAGAGGAGGCTACTGGATCATGGGTTCACTGCTAGCTGCTATCACCGTGACTCTGTCCCTGCAGGTAAGGAAATTCTGCTCACAGCAGATTGGTTTGTCTATTCTGTTTCTGATCTAAAGCTCACTGGCAGGACCACACTACTGAGAAAGGACAGTGAGGCTTAGAACAAGCTTGTCTATACGTAGGATTAAACTCTCCCTTAGCCAGTAGTCTCTTGTCTCTTGTACTCCTGCCCTCCTTTCAACATGATCCCATGACCTCAGCAAGGAACACATAAAATACTGGGAGTCTGGTTCCTGACTTCATCAGACTGCCAACACCAAACACCAGCCAGCACAGACCACAGGGCACTCCCAGGAAAATGGCCCTTTCTATTCATGCTGTTTCTAACAAGAAACAACAAAACCCCAGACCTTTGGCATGAGTTAATTTGAAACTGAACCTTGCTGCAGATAATTGTGAGGAGGCACTCTGTTCACAGACTGGAGACCAGCTCACCTCTCACAGTGATACCTCTGTGCCACTGCTGTAGCTTTTTCAGAAGCAAATCACCTGTGTTACCAGGTACCAGTACTGTGTTATCAGTACTCATCCAGAGCTACTCTGGAGATACACTGCAAAATTGATCTAGAAGCAAGGTGGCAGCAGACTTCTGGTTTTGTTTCATTCATGAAAGCTCTCAAACATAGCAGAGAGAAATCTTTTTTCCTTAAAGCATTGAGTCTCATTTCTCCTTGATTAAAATGTAGAAAAATTGCTTTTCAGTACCAGTTTTTAAATCTATAACTTAACAAAAGTTAAGAAAAATGTGATTTGTCCTTCTCATATCTCTAAGGATCAGAGGAAGCACTATGAGGTCAAAAAAAAAGCACAGTGTGCAAAAGAACTCTTCAGACTTCATTTAATGGAAGCCTCCATAGATTTGCAGCTGCTCTACACTGGCAGACCTGTCTGCTCACCTAACAAAGACCTCAGCTGCACAGAGTCAAGCACTCACAGCTCTCAGTTCCCACACACTGAATGTTTCCTTCTTGAGGTGACAGTGTTGGAAAAGCAGGAGCATTCCTCACCTAGGCTGTTAACAGTTTTCAACCAGAAGTTTGTTATGGCTTTTTTCCCCCAGGACTGGTACTTCTGGATGCCATACTGCAGCCTGGCTCTCATTATCCTGTTTACAGTTGTCTTTGCTGTTGGGCCAAGTAAGTTCTCTATCAAAAGAAATAAAGGAATTGAGTCATGTGAGCTTATTAATAGGGTTAGGAAAATACTGCCTTATATTGTAGAATATTTAGCATAAATAAATTAATTTAACATAATCTTTCAGTCATTTGAACATTGTGGGTCCAATTATTCATTGAACATAAAATTCAATACCATCAGGTTTGAGTTTTGCTAAAAAGAAGAAAGGAGCACACTGGAAAAATACAGCAAAAATAAGGCAAAAGCAGATGGGTAAAAGATTTTTTTAAATGCTAGGGGGAAAAAAGATAAAAAGAAAAGCAAGGGTTCTTTTAAATTCAGGGTTGTATAATGTTACATCTTATCCCACATAGACAGCAGTGCAGAAGACCTACTTTGGAATAATTTTTTTCCTAGCATTTATTACCTGTTACTCATTAAATTTTATCTTATAAAGGCTAATATTTTTTAAAATATTTGCCTTCCCATAAGGCAGGATTGAATTATTTTTCTAACTCAAAACACTTGAAATCCTGTGACTTCAAAACATAACTGAAGTGCCCAAGAAGTAAATCTGGGAAGATCACTCATTGGTTATCTAGCAGAATCACACTGAAAATTCATTTTATCAGGAGTAATTGTCATTCCATCCTGACACATCTTCTTTCATGAGAGGATGACAGGCTTTCTCAAGTGTCAACTACTTAATTCTTGGACGTCTCCAAAAATTTATTTGAGTATTTTACCACTTTAATAAACTGATGTCACTTATTTGAAGACTTTACCAGTTGCATAAACTGATGTCTAGCAGTTTATTAAATGCCATAAATGTTTTCTTTTGTAACAAAGAGCAGCATACTCAATGCCACCAAACAATTCTGGTACCCGTGGCAGTCTATTATAGCAACACTCAATCCAAACGTGGGAGCCAAACACATCAAACACGAAACAATTCTTGTTCTTCTTTCCTTACAGGTGGTGCAGCAGTTTCCACCAGGGTTGAAATTTTCAAGCTGTCCTGCAGACCCCCTGCCTTTGTGATCAGTGCTGTTCTGACCTGGCTGGGGGTGTTTGTGATCGGCACCACCTTCCCCTTCATCGTGGTGAGTGCCTCTGCTCCAGCAGCAGCAGCAGCAGCGCTGCCTCAGCCTGGCCTGCTCTTGGTACCTGCTCTCCCACACCCACTTTTGCAACTGGAAGGGCCCTGATTTGCCCAAGATATTAATTCAGACTAAAATATTTCTCAAAGGTCAAAATGGAAAGAATTCCTTATCAAATTCAAAATACTTTGGGTGACGCCTTGGTGTGGCTACCTAGAATAGAGGCTAGACAGAGCTAAAAGAATAAAGTAGGTATTTATTAAGGCCTTCAGAGGATGCACCTTGGGCAGTGCAAAAGTCTCACAGCGGCTACACCCAAGTTGGATGATGGTTACAAGTTTCTCAGACTGGTTTAAGTTTGGTCTATTTGCATATCAGAGATTAATTGTCCAGTTACAGCTTCAGGTTATGAAGTCACATTCCCCTGGTTTCCTCCACGCCTGTTCTCTTTTGTTTATGCTTTTAGGTCTGAGGCTGTGTTGATGACATTGGTTCTCAGCTCAGGCCTGTAAGGAATTGTTCTGTCTGCCCAAAATGTGAAGAGAGCTAACTAACACTCCATACCGAGTTCAGAGTTATACACTAACTCTGTGCAGTGCAGGATCTGAAAGATGTAAAAGCTAAAACTTAAGGCATCATGGGACCCAAATACAAAAAACATGCCAGGAAAGTGACTAAAGCAAAGATATGCTCATCTTTCTCCCTTTCCCACTTTGTTCTTCCCTGCAGGAAAGACTCAAGCACTTCTGCTTCCTCATCTTTATGGTGGTACTTTTCGCTTCAGGGATGATTATCCACCTCTTCCTTCCAGAAACAAAAGGGAAATCAATCATGGAAATCACAGAAGAATTCAATAAGTTAAACTTTAAAAACAAGCATATTCCAGCAACTCCAAAACATGTCACAGAGGATTATACCTTCTGCACCAGGCTTTGACTGACCATAAGGGGGAATCAGGTTTTTGTAAAAAAGTAGGGGGGAAAAGGCATTTGCCATTTTCTGACTAACAAGTTGCTCAAATGGACTGTCAGCTTTCCTATCTGTCACTTACAAGGTTCTCATTTTGCCAAACCAGCTTCTTTCTCAAGCACTCCACTCTGGGCAGCTCTGAAAAGCGATAAGGGCTGATATAAACAGGATAGACTTGTGTGGATTATGAGCATTTTGTCTTAACGTGCTGATGTGTAAATCTCTTCTTAACAGAGCAACTAATACACACTGAAGCAACACATGTATAATTTATAAACACTCTGCTGACCACAGAGAAAGAAAAGACCTGTGATCCTCTCTCTCTATGATTTCTGAGTATGTTTTTACAACTCTGAAATGGGTACAGTGAAGTTCTTGGCTTGCTATCTCTGGCTAGTGTTCAATCCATAACAGATTAAAGAAAAAACTTAGTGGAATAGGAGATAAATTCTTTGTTTCTCTAGATTCAGCTGAATATCCAACCCTTGCCAGGTTCCCATGCACAGTGCCATGTTGTCCTTGTACAGTGTCTGGTTTGACAGACTTCAACCATTTCAGATTGCTTTTCAGCAGCAATAGAGCTAAAAGAACTGAGGGAGAGAGTCCAGTCACCATAAACCCCCAGCACCCAATGTCATTTTAGACCCTCTGTAACCTCTTGCCCGTCACTGCTGTCATCTAAGTCTGCAGCTCTTCCTCCAGGAGCAGAATTCCCACCAATATCTCAAGGGCTGTGAATCCCACAGCAACTGAACTGCTGTTTTCTTCCTGTGACTTTTGGCTACCTGGAACCTGTTTACTCCAGAAGAACTGCCTCAGACTGGAATGGATTGAATCAGAAGCTTTTTTTTTTAATATACAGACCCATGGGACTTTTCTTTGGAAGATGTTTACCATTCTGTATGTTTCCCTCTATTAATGAGAGGCTCACATTTTTGTAGAAGGAAAGAAATTATATGAGGAAGAACATGAACAAAGCTAAAGCTTGCTGTGAAGCACACTATACATTTAAATCCAAATTCTAGACTTGCACAGTAAAATAAGTGTCTTTACTTCTGCTGTTGCTTTGACTGGCATATTTACTTCAACTCAAATAAGGTTATTCAAATTAAGAATTCAATTGTTCATCTTAACTGCTGCTTATTTTTAATTGCAAATGGTAACCATAATAAAAATGGCAGATTGCCTTGTAATAAAACTTCTGGCCTTCACAAACATTTCTTTCCGCACATCACGATCTCCTCAGGGGCAGTTGACCAGAAAAAGTTGTTGGTCTGCATTACCTTCTGTGACTGGAGTTTTTCATTATTCCTGTCTTTAGTACTGAGTGACACTTCAGACATCTCATTAAATGTAAGTACATAAATAGAACTGGGTATCTATGAAACATGAAGTGTCCTAAAGTCAGAAAAGTCAATAACTTCGTGGTGTTCCATATACATGTAATATGATTAAAAACTACCAGTCATCTGGAGACAGGTAAGATACAGATAAGAAATCAATCAGTATTTCTTATCAGTATAGATAAGAAATACCAAGTTTTTGCAAAACAGAATTCTCTTTTCTCTACCAGTCATTCTGGAAACACAATTCCCTTACAACAGTCCCTGAAACCTGTGGAAACAAGAGCAGAGTGGCACTGTGCAGCACTGCTGAGAGACTCCCCAGTGAGTCACTTCTCTATCTCAGTTATTCATTAGGTGCCATTTAGGAAAGCCCTCCCCACAGGACCCTCCCAGGAAGGCAGCCATGCCCTATGGAACATTGCTGGGACAATGAAGTGGAACAGCCATGTGGAGCACGGGTCAACCCTGGCCTGTGCTCAGTGTCATGGGGACAGTGTCAAGGGATGAAACAGCAAAAGGGATGGCTCAAATATAGGTGGGAGGGCACAGGGACAAAGGGGACACTAATTCAGGAACAGTACATGCACGTTATCTTCCAGAGACATGACCTGCTAGGTAAGATATGTCTCAAATGCTAATTAAGGCAGATATAAAAGCTTTAAAAATGTATCTGTGAACTTCAGTGAGCTGGACACAAAAAATATGGATCTGTACTAAGGAAGGCTTAGCACAGCTTTGGATATGTGTGTCACACATGTATACATAAATGATTAAATGACCTGATGCTGTGAGATTCACTGTCCTGAGCACAAATCTTACTAAAGGATATCTGTAAGATATTATGGAACTGCACGTCTAACAAAGGGGGTCTCAAAACAGTCTAAGCAGTAACAATACAGTCACTAATCACCATAAATGCAAAAGACATTACACAGGAAGAGAGTTATCAGAGGAAGATTCAACCTACCCAAAGTAGGAATTCTAAATTAAAGTCTGAGAGCAAAAAGTGTAAGTACCAATATGTATAAATAACAAAGTAGAAGTGGGTGAAGTAAAACATTGAAAAATATGTGCAACAGGCTGCATTTGAGAAGGAGTGCCCCATGCTGAAGTCTACATGTTACTGCCTGTTTGTGTGTCCCCCCAGTATCATCTGAGCAAGGCAGCTACCAGAAGTCAGATACACATAATGTTGTTTCAACTTTGTATAACTCCACAGAAAAGGAAATTAATTCTTAGCATCAAAGGGACAGTCTCATTTGCACTCTAACAACAGCTTATCTGCTGGAGAGCCTCAGCTGAAAAAAAATCCCTCCATAACTCTCAGCACAAATCAACAGCAAAGTCAAGGCCATGATGAGACACGAGAGCGGCAGGAGAAATGGTTGGGTGGTGCCATACACTACATTTCAAACATTAGCTAGGGAATCCAGCAATATGCTTTGCATATCAAACCTTTTCTAGTAAATATGACTGCTTGCATCAACTAAGCCCTGTATGATTTCTTCATCCTCTCCTTCAACTGAAGTGTAAATGGCAAGTAATAACTAAGCCATTTACCAACTGAATACATTCAAGACCCTCTTAAATGTGAAAGAACTGAAGTTAAAGCCTGAGAATTTTCTCTCAGAAGAAACAGACATCAGTCCAGCTGTGGAGGTTACAAAACAGCTTCAAAAGAACCTTATTTTTCATGGCAGACACAGAAATAAGTACACTGAGTAGTGAAAATGCCAGACAAAACTGCATGGTGAATGCTTCTCTCTACTAGCAAAGAAAAATCATCTACTGAATACTTGGCTGGTCAAACCCGGTGTACCACTGTAGAATTGTTATGTTTGCACCCCATTTCAAAATCATGGAGTAGTTCAGTTCCTTCCAGTAATGATTAAGTCACGATGTGCTCCAGTTGCTGTCACCTGGAGAGAGAACAGCTCTTTCTTGTTATGTGTCAAAGTTCTGGAGTCCACTGCCCAAGCTCCATCTAAGATTCCCAACAGAGAACTCTAAGTTTCTCACTTATACTGAGAACTGAGCAGGTTATGATGATGGGAATCCTGTTTCAGATGGTTTTCTCAGTCCCCTGTCCCCCTAGTAGAAGACAGAGTTCATGAAGCACACAGGTCCTGCAAGGGACACCATCCTGCTTACTTGGCCTACACATGACTGTTGGTTGAAATATTTAATCCAGCAATCCTAAACTTTGTACGACAGCTGGAATATGTGTAATTAACTCAAAATCCTCTGAAGTAAAGTTTAACTTCAGTAAATGGGACTAGTTCACTGACACTGCTGTTGTATAATGTGAGCATTTGGCTCCTTTGGCAGGTAGCAGCAGTGAGCAGCAGGCACCAGCTCATTCATAGGAGATGGCTGCCTTCCTCTCCAACCTGGTGAGTACCTGCTCACATCTCCTCAGCCTCTGGCTTACAAAAGACAGAGAGTATATAATACTAGAGATTTGGGTTCTTTTTTTAAAGATTTTAAATTCCTTTATTACAGAGACCATCTTTCCTTTCTGTGTTTAAACATCACAAAGAGCAATGTGGCTTGGGGCCGTGAAGATCCTGTTGCATTGTCTTTCTATGTAACAAGATGAAATGATATTAAATGAAATGAAATTAAGTGAAATTAAATTAAATTAAAATCTAACAACAGCTCTAGCTCTTCCACCATTGACTGTGATACTTTACTTTGTCTTCTAAATTGCTGAGAACAATACTAAATATTAAGCACGCTGATTACTTTCCAAAATCATGAATATAGTAATGGTACAGCAAAAGGCTAAGAAATCATGACATAAACTTTTAAATAAATTACTTTCTTCACTTCAGCAAAAGATAATTAATATAATCCATCAAGAGTTTCCAAAATCTTAAAAAGGGAAGAAGTGATATGTATCATCATACATTATGGTTTGGTGTACATTGGTTGCTGTCCGTTGCAGACAAGGGATTGATTCCCTCTTCCCCATGTCCAGGATTGACACCTTTATCCAGCCAACCTGTCAGCTGTTGCAGGCATACAGTGAGAATTGTACTATCAGAAACACATTTCAAACTCATTTTCCTTCTTGCAAGCAGAGTGATGGATTATCACCTTACATCCATGTTATTTGCTCTGGCACTGTGGCTGATGGTTGTGCTTTGGCAGCAGTTTAGAGGGATTTTGAAAAATGTTTAAATTCAAAAGGATCTGAAGTGGACAAAGAGGAAGGACCAGTATGGCTACAAAGTCTCTGGACTCGCACAAAACTAGAGTAGTGAGAAGCTGATGGAGCATTTTATTTTTGCTTTGCAGGTTCAGTTCCGGGGCCTACTTCAAATGATCTTAGTGCTGGGAATTGGTGGCAGTTTCCCATATGGATTCCATATTTCTGTCATCAACTATCCTTCTGTGGTAAGTAGCCATCTCTCTGAGGCTGAAAACACAAAGGTGAGAGCCTCTGTTCTCCCATACATCCCAAATTTACTGAGCATTCAGCCAATATGCCTAGGCCTTTGCTTTGGCTGACAGTAACATCACATGTGCAGAGAACTTTTTCTCCTTTAAAGAGCTGGAGAGCATTTTCTGTTTGAAATAAGCTCCTGCCATGAGAGTACAAGACTCCAAAGGAGGGCACAAAATGAGCTCTCAGCATGCTCACCAGGAAGCTTCCTGACTGATACAGACTTGAAAAATCTGCAGTGTGATCTCAGTGAACTTGTTTTACTAAAAAGTCTCAAAGTAAGTCTAATATGAGAACCAAAGGCTTGATCTGAAGTACAACAACCAAATGTGAAGGGATCTCATACCCATTAACCAGGCAAATCTTGTTTGGTTTTTCAGTACATCAGGAAGTTTATTAATGAAACCTGGATAGATCGACATGGCTCTCCCCTCCACCCTGAGACAATCATGCTGCTCTGGTCCTTCATTGTGGCTGTTTATGGGATAGGAGGATTCCTGGGAAGCCTTTGCTGTGGATACCTGACTACAAAATACAGGAAGTAAGTGTTTCTTGTAACAGCTCAGCAGTCAGAAAGCACAGGGAAATGCCAAGGTGGACAAATAAGTCCCTTCTTTTTTGGTTGAAGCAGCCCTGTTGAAGACAATTGGTTTGGTTTCCTGGCACATCCACTTTTTCCAAGCAGCCTTCTGTCCTATTTATCTGCCCTCCCCAGGGAACCGTGCTCTGGAAGGGCTGTGGGCATCATCACATCACCAGTGCCTTGGGAGTAGTGGCACAGGGTCACATTCTCTTCAAGGTACCCTGTCATTCTCATAAGATCTGCCAAGCTTTACAAACTCCAGTAAAGGAGCTGCGTGTCTTGTGTTGTAACACACTCTATGCAATTACTCAAACACCTGGAAAACATCCTTATGTGAAAGAAGAGTCAGACTTCCATTTAAATGCACTCATTTTGGGGTGGTGACATTACATTAAATATTCAGATCTACTATTGTGAAAATATAGAGAGAGGAGAAAAAAAATTGCTTGGAATTTCACTGTAAAGATATAATCAGCACCAAAACAAATGTCCAAGAGTCATCTCTGCTCTTGACAGTCCATTTTACTGAAAGCTAGTTCCAAATTATCTTTGCCACTGGACAAAGGAAGGATTCCTCACCAGTCTGGTCTGTTCTTGGTGCCTTGTGTGTAACACCACTAATTTCATTTGCAGAGAAATTGGCAAACATATCTTCTTGGTGTGACCCACTTAAAGATCTGCTCCACAACACACTGATCCAGGGGCCCCTCATTTGGGTCTCAACAAACCATCTTAACCTGCCTGCCATTGTGTTCTTTCCTAACAGGT